TTTGTACTCACCCTTATTTTAGTTTTAGTTATATTCCATCTTTTTTTTTTCTTTTTTTTTTTGAGATGGAGTCTCGCCCTGTCAACCAGGCTGGAGTGCAGTGGTGTGATCTTGGCTCACTGTAACCTCTGCCTCCTGGGTTCAAGCGATTCTTCTGCCTAAGCCTCCCGAGTAGCTGGGATTACAGGTGTGCGCCCCCACGCTTGGCTAATTTTTTTTAATATCTTTATTAGAAACAGTGTTTCACCATGTTGGCCGGCTGGTCTCGAACTCCTGACCTTGTGATCCACCCACCTTGGCCTCCCAAAGTGCTGGGATTACAGGCATGAGCCACCGTGCCCGGCCAATTATATTCCATTCTTATGATCAGTCTTTTTGCTGTAGGTTTCTCCATACATTTTGGTTAGAAGAAGCTCATCTAAGGTCCTCAAGAAAGGCTCGTAGGTATAGTAATTCTTGAATTTTTCGATGTTCAAACCCTTTTCTTTAGACTTAACATTTTTTGTTTTTACCATTATGTATGATATTAATTGTAGGTTTTTCTTCTATTTTGGTATTTTCCTATTTACATTGATACATAATAGATATATTTTCAGGGTACATGTGATAATTTAATATATGAATATAATTTGTAAACATCAAATCAGTATAATTGGGATATCCATAACCTTAAATATTCATCTTTTTTTTAACGCTGGAAACATTAGCCTTAATCCTTAAGTACGGCTTGCCTAGATATAAAATGCTTAGTTCACATCTTTTCCCTTGAGTTTGTCTAAAATGTTTCTCTGCTGTTGTTTTGCTTTTTATATTGCCATTGGGAAATCTAATTACCAATCTTTCTTTTCTCTGTAAATGATTTGGTTTTCTTGTCTAGAGAAAATGAGGATTTTTTTTTTTTCTTTTAAATGTAATGGTTTTACTAGGATGTATCTTGGAATTAACTCTTCAGGGTCAATTTTCACTATACACTTGAGCCTTTTTAACATAAAGATTCAAGTCTTCTTTATTTCAGGATGATTTCTTAGACTTTATGTTTTTTCTTTTTTAGTACTTTGTTTTTTTGGTTTGTTTTCGTTTTTGGAACTTTTTTTTTTTTTTTGAGATGGAGTCTCGCTCTGTCACCCAGGCTGGAGTGCAGTGGCGCGATCTGGGCCCACTGCAAGCTCTGCCTCCCAGGTTCACGCCATTCTCCCGCCTCAGCCTCCGGAGTAGTTGGACTACAGGCGCCCGCCACCGCGCCCAGCTGATTTTTTTGTATTTTTAGTAGAGACAGGGTTTCATAGTGTTAGCCAGGATGGTCTCGATCTCCTGAACTGGTGATCTGCCCACCTCGGCCTCCCAGAGTGCTGGGATTATAGACGTGAGCCACTGCACCCGGCCTTTGGAGCTTATTTTATACATAAGTTAGAAAGTCGTCGTCGTCGTTTTTTTTGTTTTGTTTTGTTTTGTTTTAGAGACAGGGTCTTGCGGTGTCACCCAGGCTGGGGTGCCATAGCCTGAACTCACTGCAGCCTCGAACTCCTGGGCTCAAGTGACCTTCCTGTATCAGTGGCATGAGATACCCTGCCTGCCCTGTTAGAACTTCTATGTCTAATATACAAGCACCTTCTCTCTTATCCTTTTACATTCTTTATTTTTATTCTTTTGGCTGTTTTCATACCTTTCTTCAGTATTCTTTATTAAATGTTCAGTAGAATTCTAGTCTTCTGTGGGCACCTTGTAATTTAGTCTTCATTTCTGAGATGATTTTGTTTTCTGCAGAGTATTTCTGGGTTTGCTCACTTCTCATTTCATATCTTCCTATTACTTTTATCCATTCTGCCTTGAGTTTTTGCATTTGTGATTTGATGAGATTTTTAAAAATATCTGCAACTTCTAACTTAAAGATACTTAATTTAAGTTGGGATATTGTGATGTAGTTTTGTTTCATTGTTTTAAGGAGAATTTTCATTAGCTAAAATGTCTGATTCTCATTTTCTGTTTTATTTTTATAGCAACTTTACATGGATTTGGTCTGCCTTTTTCTGTTTATTTTGTAACTGTATTTTCCATAATTTTATTTACTTAGATGAGTATTAACAGTTATATATTAATACACAGAAGCGAGGATTTTGTATAGGGAAGTTTCTTATTTCAAAAGCACTCTCTTCCTTTGGTGTAGTGAAATGCAGGTTTTTTAAATCAATGACACACTTTTGAGATGGGGTCTTGCTCTGTCACCCAGGCTGGGGTGTAATACGTGGCATGATCTTGACTCACTGCAACCTCCGCCTCCTGAGCTCAAGCTATCCTCCCACCTCAACCTCCCAAGTAGCTGGGACCACAGGCTCCTGCCACCATGTCCAGCTAATTTTTTTGTATTATTGGTAAAGATGGGTTTTTGTCATGTTTTCCAGGCTGGTCTTGAACTCCTGAGCTCAAGCGATCTTTCCAGCTTGGCCTCCCAAAGTGCTGGGGTTATGGGTGTGAGCCACCATGCCTGGCCCAAATCAATGACACTCTTATTAGAGGGCAGTGTCAGTATGTTTTCTAAGTTATGATTCACTGTTGTTTTTGTAGGATCCTTACTTTCCCTTTCCTGCTTCTTTCTTTACTTTTACTATCAAAGTCTCAGTGGGTGCCTTTTCCTTTCAATTTACCCCTTCTGCCTCCAAAAGTGATGCCTTCTTGAAGGTACCTCCTTTATCCTGAACAACTTTAAGGTGGGGTGTGTTGGCTCATGCCTATAATCCCAGAACTTTGGGAGGCCGAGGTGGGAGGATCACTTGAATCCAGGAGTTTGAGACCAGCCTATCAACATAGGGAGACCCCGTCTCTACAAAAAATACAAAAATTAGCTGGGCATGGTGATGTGTGTCTGTAGTCCCAGCTACTCAGAGGATCAGTTGACCCTGGGAGGGCAAGGCTGCAGTGAGCCATTATTGTCCACTGCACTCTAGCCTGGGTAACAGAGCCAGACCCTGTCTCAAAAAATACACATAAAAATAAAATCAATTCCTTTTAACTTCTCAGTAGCGTGTGTTTGATATCCCATATCTTAGACCTATTTTTAGTATCTTCATAATCAAGTGGGATTTTTGTCTTTTGTGGATTTTTCTTTGTTCCATCAGCTTTAGGTTATGCAAACCTCTCCTTTTCTTTTTTACTCCCCACCCCCAGCTTTTTTAAGTTTTATTTTGGTGAAGCTCTTACTCTTGCCTGTCTCTCACCACAGGCATAGGCTTTGCAGATGAGTTTCTTGGATTGGGAAATATTTTGAAGTTCATATTATATGTCTCCCAGTTTTTCTGAGGCATGGGTTATGAGTGATTTTATTTGTGTATGCTGTTGATATGTGTAGTTTTTCTGGAGCATGGAGAAATTCAGTTTTAGGCAGCTGTCATTAATTTTGACAGCTCAGAAGTCATATCCTTCATTTTTGAAGAATTTTTTGCTGGATAAAGAATTGCAGATTGGGCCAGGCATGGTGGCTCACACCTGTAATCCCAGCACTTTGGGAGGCCAAGATGGGTGAATCACCTGAGGTCGGGAGTTCGAGACCAGCCTGGTCAACCTAGAGAAACCCCATCTCTACTAGAAATACAAAAATTAGCTGGACATGGTGGCGGGTGCCTGTAATCCCAGCTACTCAGGAGGCTGAGGCAGAAGAATTGCTTGAACCCGGGAGGCGGAGGTTGCAGTGAGCTGAGATTGTGCCATTGCACTCTAGCCTGGGCGACAAGAGTGAAACTCTATCTCCAGGATAAAAGCATCTACAGGAGCCAGCTCATCTTTCTAAGGTTCTTCTTTCTTAGCTCCTCTAATTTTTCTTGCCTCAGTTGGTATCCACTGAATTATCCAGCTCTTCTTATATTTTCATATATTTTATATTTTCTATAAGTGGGAGCATTGGTATGTCATAAGATATTCCATCCCATCCTCATGCCTGCTTGCTACCATTTTTGCTTACTTTTAAGAGCTGAGATTTCTTATGTTTAGTTCTCAACTTTATTCATAAGATCTTGAAGTTTTATGATACTTTTATTAAAATCTAGTGTGCCAGAGGGCCCCAGGACCCACCCCAGGTGTGATGGTTTGATAGGAAGATTCACAGGGCTGTAGTATGTTGTTGTATATAGTTGTACTTATTGCTAAGATTTATTACAGCAAAAAGATACAAGGTAAAATCAGCAAATGTAAAAGGTGCATAGAGCCACGTCTGGAGGAAACTGGGTATAAGCTTCCTAGAATCCTCTTTCAGTGGAGTCTCATGAGACGTGCTTAGTCCTCTATCAGTGAGTCGTGACAACATATGTGAAATGTTATTTGCCAGGGAGGCTCATTAGAGACTCTGTGCCCAGGGATTTTACTGGGCCTCTTCATGTAGGCACCCTCTGCCTAGTGTTTGCAGTTCAGACTCCCAGAAGGAAAGCAACTGTTCATCATGAACTGTATTGCATAAATAGTTTGGCACAATGAGCCATTCTTATCAGTTAGGTTCATGGGAACCCTCCTGAACCTCCTGAAATAGATGTTCCCAGAAGCCAGCCAGAGGCCAGTGTTGCCAGCAAGTCTTTTCAAGGATAGCGGTTTAGGCCTTTTAACTCTTTCTTTCCTTCTTTCTTTTTTTTAGGGTTGATAACTTTTTTTCTATATACCAATCCGATGAAACATTTATTCAACATAGTAGGAAAAATTGTTGGAGATCTAAAATAGGTCAGCAATGTCATATCTAATATAATCAGTTCATTTTCTTTGTAGTAAAACTCTGAGAAACAGTAGTAAGCAAAATAAAACAAAATTATTTTTCTTTAATATTACTGGAAAAGTATACTCAGTGAAGGAAAATAGCATCTTCCCTATCATAATCTTAAGATTTGATTTTTCTTAAACATTTTAAATTGAGATAGTAAAAGTGCCAGTATGTTATGGTAAGTAACATTTTCTTCCTTCACTAATTTTTGTTAATGGACAGAGAAAACGACTGTGTAAAGAAACTGTATATTCATTCCTTTTAGCCTAAGAAAGCTGTCAAGATAAAACCTCACCCACCTATAGCTCCTCGACCTTCTAGTGGTTCCACTGCACCATCTCGCCACCGATTGGTAAGGGTCCTCCCCAACATTGGTCAATCTTGTTTACCTGCTTTTGGGAATGCATATCTGCCCGAAATCTCTAGGAATGGAGTTTCAAGTTTGGCAACTCAACTCCCTGCTGAGAGATCCATGTCTTCTATCACTGGTGAATTTCTTAAGGAAAATAATAGCTGGGAGAATAACACACTGTCTCACTCCAGTAGCAATGTCAAACTACCTCCTCAGATACCCAATTTGGAGTTGGGAAATGACCAGGAGCTTGCTGACTCTGTTCTCCATCTTGGATCATCCTTGCCTAGGCAGACAAAACACTTTTTAGGAAACTTGCCATCTAGTAATGAGGACACTGTCTTACCTTCAGAAGAATGTGTAATCGAAGAATCACTTCTACCTGAAGTGGGCTCACTGGCTTCATTTGCAGATAGAAATGCTGATGAGCAGAGCAGCGGCTTAGAAGATGCATGCAAAGTGAATCCGGAGTTGTTACTTACTAATGCTGACAAAGGGTTGAAAGCTCCAGAGCAGCATCTTAAGCATGTTGCGGGAGTGCTGAGTGGGGAATCAGTAGAGACTTCAGTTCTTAACTACCGCGAATTAAGTCCTCACAAGAATAGACTCTTGTCACCTCTTCGCTGTTCTGCACCAATGTCGCTACATAATTCTCTGGTGAAACCACAGAGACAGTCCAAATGTTTTGAGTTACTACAGCCTTCTTCTCGGTCACTGGATGTTCAAAACCTAACTGATTGTTCTTCCTCTAGGACCCCTCGCTTTCAAGGGGTTAAAGTTGATTCACCTGGGAAAAGATCTGATGTTATTTCCAAAGTTGAGGCTCGGGATATCACAGAAATGGCTAACAAGGCTTCCAAAGAACCTGTCGATTGTGTAAATAATATCAGTTTTCTTGCTTCACTGGCCCGGAGCACAAGCAGAGATAGATTACAGAGCACACGTGGGGCAGGCAGGCTTCAGACCTCTGGAATTGGGCTGTCTACAAACCTCCAGCATTTTCAGGAAGAAAACCTTAGGAAAAGTTCTCCCCAGTTAGAACATCCAGAAGTTTTTTTGGTCAGTATTTTCCTTTCAGCATGCTCTAGTAGTTACCCTTGTAGTGATCCAACTTACTTAAAGTTTGGTTTTTGTTTACATAAATAAGGAAGGCTAAAATTAGATTATTTTCATAAGTTTATCTGAAAATGTTTCTTTAGTTTGTATAAAATCTTCTTGATGGTTGAATTTTGAATGCTCTTTTAGTCCTGAAATGAGAATAGTAATTTGAACATAAATTAATGTAAACAGTTTATCAGATATGTATGTATATGTTGAACTCCTCGAACTCCTGGGCTCAAGCAATCCTCCTGCCTTAGCCTCCTGAGTAGCTGGGAATATAGGGACATGCCAATACACTGGTATTTTTAAATACGTATTAAAAATATGTATTTTTAAATGGTAAATCTTTTTAATGTTTTTTTCCATCCCAAGTAAGAACTTTTTATTTGAGTCATCAAATTTTACTCCCTCTCTCTCTCTCTTTTTTTTTTTTTTTTTTTTTTTTTTTTTTTTTGAGACAAGGTCTCATTCTGTCACCCAGGCTGGAGCACATTGGCATAATCATGGTTCACTGCAGCCTTGACCTCCTGGGCTCAAGCAATCCTCCCACCTCAGTCTCTCGAGTCACTGAGACTACCGGCGCATGCCACCATGCCTGATTAACTTTTATATTCTTTGTAGAGATGGGGTTTCACCATGTTGCCCAGGCTGCTCTCAAACTCCTGGAACACAGCGGTGCAATCATAGCTCACTGCAGCCGTGATGTCCTAGGCTCAAGCGATCCTCTCACCTCAGCCTCCCAAAGTGCTGGGATTACAGGCATGGGTCACCACACCCAGCAAATTTTACCCTCTTAAAGATAAATAATAGGCATGATATTGCTAGATGTGGAATCAGGTTCTGAGTTAATTTAATTAAACAAAAATTGGATTAAATAATTTAAAATGAAAGTCCAACAGCATGTTAGTGATAAAATACAAGTATTTCATGTTTGTTGATCATTTCTATTCTTCATTGACTCACCTCTATAGATGTTTTGTGTTTTAATTGTAGTCTGCCCATGGTGTTGGAATGAATGGAAATAATGCAGCAACAGGGAAAAGCGTAGGTAAGCTACAGATAATTTTGAAAACAATATAAGGCTGATAATTACTAATTATGCATCCGGTTGAATTTTCAAAGAGAAATGGGAAGAACCTTCTCTGTGGCATGTAAAGAGTAAATTCTCTCCCTAAATGTTTTTTCCAATTAAGAAAATAATTATGAGAATGGACTGTAGGACACACATAAAGAGCAAAACAAAAATTGAAATGGAAATATCTTGTCTTGGAAGAGGTGTTATCTATGTCAAAAAACCCACAAGATTACTGAAGAATGAACATGTAGTTCCCAACCACCTTAGTTACTGGCCACTCTAGAGCCATGTGGGTTTTGAAGAATTACCCTAGAAAGATGTCTTTCAACATCATGGCCAAACATCAGAGGTGGTGGTAAGAATCTCTTTTTGATGATCTGGTCATTTCTGGATAAAAGAAAGGGACCATCTCTAGGGCCATCCCTTTCCATGGCATACTAGTAGAAGTGACTATAACATTAGCACTTCTTTCTACCAACATAGAAAAACATTAAAGATGCACTGGCTAGTCCTTATTTTCAAGGAGGAAGGAAGCCATCTTTTTAAATGTTTTAATATCCAGACCAGGGATGGGAAACTCGTTACCAAAGATGTGCCACCTTTGTAGCCCCAAGGGTTTAAAAGATATTTGTTATGGTTGTCATGTGAGTTTTATGTTTTTATTGAAGACATTTAGGGTTTGTTTTTCATTCCTATGTAAGGCCCAAGATTATAAAGTCATAATCTATTTGCATATTTTTTCAATTCTTTTGTACTATGGTAAAATAAACGTAACATAAATTTTACTGTCATAACCATTTTTAAGTATAAAGTTCAGTGACTTTCACATTGTTGGGGATCCATCACCATCTTTCTCCAGAACACTTTTCAAGCTGAAACACTTTTCCCCCTCCCACCACCTTGGCAACCACCATTTCATTTCCTAATTCAATGATTTTTTAGGTACTCTAAGTACCTCATGTAAGTGGAATCATACAGTATTTGTCTTTTTATGACTGGCTTATTTCACTTATCAGAATGTCCTCAAGATTTACCCATGTAGTAGTACATATCAGAAATTTTTTTCTTTTGGGGGCTGATACTCTATTGTACGTGTGTGTGTACACACACACACAATATACACATACACACAGAGCACATTTTGCTTATCCATTCATCTGTTAATAAACAGTTGTATTGCTTCCGTGTTTTAGCTATTGTGAATAATGGTGCTGTGAACACTATTTTCAATTATTTAGAATATATACCCAGAATGAAACTGCGGGATCAGAAGGTATTTCTATTTTTAATTTTTTGAGGAACCATCATATTGTTTTCCACAGTTGCTGTACCATGTTTCATTCCATCAACAGTGCAAAAGGATTCCAATTTCTCCACATCCTTGGCAACACTTGTTATTTTCCTATTTTTTTTTTTTTGCTAGTAGCCATCCTAATGGGTGTGAGGTGATGTCACTGTGGTTTTGATTTGCATATCTGTGATGATTAGTGTTACTGATTATTGATTCCATAATTAGTGAAGTTGATTTCCTAATGAGTAGTTTCATGTGTTTATTGGTCGTTTCTAGATTTTCTTTGGAGAAATGTCTTTTCATGTTTTCCCCCCCTCCAACCCAAACTGTATCCAGCTTTATTAAAGATACTTTCCATAAACAATCATGGTATTTCAGGCAGGACATGGACAGACAGTCGTTAACAGTATACAACAACTTTCAAACTCCCTTCTTCAGTGGAATACCAAAAACCAGAAAGCCACTATAAAACCCAGTGAAATATCTGATGTTCTGAACAGGGGAAGTTTAGAGTGAGGGTTGACATTTCACATTTAGCATGTTGTTTAACAACTTTTCACAAGCTGACCCTGACTTTCAGGAAGTGCAATAAAAATGGCAGAATTTATCTGAAGATCCACAATCTAGAAATGGAACCACTGCTTTTTTGATAGGTGCCATCTCAGTGGCATCACTGGAAAGTCCAGAATGCCTGACACATTAGGAAATCCAATGTCTGACACATTAGGAAATCCAGTTTGTTTATTTTCTCCTTTTGTTACCTGTGCCTTTGGTGTCATATCCAAGAAATCACCACCAAATCCAGTATCATGAAGCTTTTCCCCTATCTTTTCTTCTAGAAGTTTTGTAGTTTTAGGTCTTATGTTTAGGACTTCGATCCATTTTGAGTTAATTGTTATGTAGAGTGTAAGGTAAGGGTTCCACTTCATTCTTTTGCATGCGAACATCCCATTTTCTTGCTAACTTTTGTTGAAACACTGTCCTTCTTCATTGAATGGTCTTGGCACCCGTATTGAAAGTCATTTGATCATGTATATGAGGATTTGTTTCTGGACTCTCTACTCATTGGTCTGTGTGTCTGTTTTATGCCAGTGTCACATTGTTTTCGTTACTGTAATTTATTGACTTTTAATGTTATAGTTGTTGTTTTTCCTTGACACATAACTCTGTCCTGCCCTAACACACGGCTAATCTTCTTGAAAATTTGCATTACACCCATCCCTACTCACTCAGCTCTAGTTCAGTCTTGAGTGCTGGCTCACATCTCACTTGCTACTCTTCTGAAACTGCTATTGCTGTGGTCCCTGACGATCTCCACAATTTCAAATCCATTGGATGCTTCCTTATCTTTATCTTACTTGATTTTTGTGTCCTTCATTCTTGAAATAGTTTTCTTTTCTTTTTTTTTTTTTTTCTAGGCTATCACATTGTTATAAATTCTTTCTTTTGTTTTAATGTTTTTTTAACCTCAGTTTTCTTCTGTCCTTTTTTTTTTTTTTTTTTTTTTAACCAGCCCTCTGCTTGTCACCAGATACATGCTCTTTTTGTTTGATTTCATTTAGGTTTGAAGTATCAGCTGCTAGCTGCAGTAGAGCTGTGTAACTTCCTTCCATTTTCTCTCACCATAATAACTATCATTCTGAATTATCTAGAAGAGTCTGTATACATTCTGATGCAAGTTTCATTTAGTTGACCTCCTAGATTCCTCCATTGGTCCTCTGTTCTTTTCACTGTAAGGTTTTCCTTGGAAACCGTATCAATTATTGTAGTTTTAGCCATTGATTTTAGGCAGATGACTACCAACTTTGCGTCTGAAACACTAATTTATTACTTTTTGCTGCCTTTCTGTTGGGTCAGTTTTTGTAGATTCTGTTAGATGTTAGATCAAATATGAGACTAGGAAATGGCAAACAAGTGAATTACCTCAAGTACCTTTCATCTTCTTCTGAAAAGCAACTCTTCCCATCAATATGATTTTATGGATTTTTTTCTTTATTCATCTGTTCGGTACACATTTGAGAGAAGGCGTCAGAGAGGAGTTGATAATTGATGATGTCTTACAGGACAAGTCAAATGCTACGGGTTGACAGGTAGAGTTTATTTTAGAAGAGATTGCAGATGTAGAAGGACTCGGTACATCCTTCAGGGTGGGTTTGACATGGTAAATTACGGTGTCTCTGGATAGTTAGAAAGGCATTATATTGGACATAATAATACCTTAAATGCTAGTCCAAGGAATTTATATTTTTCCTGTTTATAGTGGAGAATCAATATGTTTAGTGATGGTTCCTAGCACACAGTAGTTGACTAATAGTTTTCTCTGAATGGTAGAAGGATGTGTGGAAGCTGCTCTCATAGAATAGTTATATTTTTGTGCTGCCTCATTACTGTCACTAATGTATTCTCTGTCTCTACACATTCACAAGAGTTTTTTTTTTTTTTGGCAGAGTCTCGCTCTGTTGCCTGGTTAGGCTGAAGTGCAGTGGCACGATCTCGGCTCACTGCAACCTCTTCCTCACGGGTTGAAGCGATTCTTCTGCCTCAGCCTCCTGAGTAGCTGGGACTACAGACACGTGCTACCATGCCCAGCTAACTTTTGTATTTTTAGTAGAGACGGGGTTTTACCATGTTGGCCTGACTGGTCTCGAACTCCTGACCTCAGGTGATTTGCCAACCTTGGCCACCCAAAGTGCTAGGATTACAGGTGTGAGCCACCGTGCCTGGCCTCACAAGAGTTCTTGAATGAAAAAAAGTGTGGAGAATACTGAGTTAAGTATCCCCTAAGAAAAGAAAAAAAAAATGAAAATGTGACTACAGTGAATTAAATTATTATCAGAGATTCTTCACCATTGTTTAAGGAAGAATATCCTAAGCCTGAATTTTAAAGATAGTTTCGAGTAGATAAACTTCCATTGGGCATCATGTAATATATGCCTTTCTTTGGTGTCCTGTGCAAGTGCAAGTAAATATCTTTTTAAAAATATTTTAAATAATGGAATTACACCATCACCTTTGTGAGATGTTCTTGGTATCTCTAAGTGCACTTGAGAAATAAAATGTTTATTAACTGAGTTGGTACCCAGGCACTATTAGGAGTCACTCCAGTTGTTTCAAATTTTGTTTCTAGTTTTCGCAAGATCTGGGAATGTATTTTAGACTGGTAATAAAGAAGATTTAATTTTGCTGGGCTTGTGTACAAATTACCTAATCTCTGTTGTGACAAAAGACATAGAACCAATTAATTGTAAATCTGATTTTTTGAACCCTTTAAGAAATTTCAGACTTTTAGCTGCCAAATAAATACCAAGCTTAGGCCTCCCAAACCTTTTTCAGTAGTGGAGAAAAGGTCCCAGCACTATTGACACTACCAGTTGTTCCTCACTCCTTCCACTTGTTCTTGCATTTTTTTTTTGCCTCTTGCTTCTTAGCCTTTGAGTGACACCAAGCACATGTGTACTTATACTGTTACTTTATCAACTATGGGCAGGAACTTTGAGTCTCTCTGCTTATGACTGGGGTTTGTTGGCATTTTGATCAGTTCTAAAAGACATTTCACTTAGTAATTAAAGAAATTGATTTGGCCTGGCACGGTGGCTCACACCTGTAATCCCAGCACTTTGGGAGGCCGAGATGGTTGGATCATGAGGTCAGGAGTTCAAGAGCAGAACAGACTGACCAAGATGGTGAAACCCCATCTCTACTAAAAATACAAAAAAATTAGCTGGGCATGGCGGTGCACGCCTGTAGTCCCAGCTACTCGGGAGGCTGAGGCAGAAAAATCACTTGAAACTGGGAGGCGGAGCTTGCAGTGAGCCGATATCGTGCCACTGCACTCCAGCCTGGGCAACAGAGCGAAACTGTCCCCCCCTCGAAAAGCAAAACAAAACAAAAACCAGATTTAATTCTTTCTTATGTAATAACAGATGTGCTCTTATTTTTAAGGTAAAAACTCAAAGTTGATACAGTAGTACAGAATTCAGTAAATATTTTTGGAAAACTAGTAGTACTGTGAAATTGATCTGTGTACTGTGTTAGTATTATTAATATGACATTTTATGTAATTATAACATGCTTAAAACTTTCAGAGTGCTTTTTACATATGTGGACTGAACTGACCTTTAAAGTCCTTATTAATCTAGAGAGAAAAATACATATTCTATTATGTTAAAAATAAACATATTGAAGTTTTGAAAGAATAAATGACTTGTTCGTGGTTTGATGAACTTACTGTTTGTGTTGTAATAGGACTAAAAGGCATGTTTCATGATACTCTGGTACTCCTTTTTGGTGTGAACAAACAGAATATTTGTATTGCAATCATGTTCTCAGAGGTTTCATCAAATATGATTTTGAAGCAAACATTTTTCTTTATTCTCTGTCAAAATTTGGTATACTTTATATAAACTGATTACCATTAGAAATAATCAGAAAAGTGGTATGTATAAGAAGTTCTAAAAATATAAGTGCTAATCAGTGGAAACCTACCACATCTTAAAAAAAATA